CCCCAACCCCAACCCCAACCCCAACCCCAAACCCAACCCCAAACCCAAACCCCAAAACTCTCTGAGAAATAAATTTGAATAAGAAAGTAATTGATAATATATATATCTTTTAGAAAATCATAATCAATAATTATACGAAGCAGTTGAATATGAAATGGTATTTATGCAATTGTGATTCACTAAGATAACGAAAACACATATTATGAGAGATGTGCAACATTTTTGAGAAGAAATAACAAAAAAGTATATAGGTATCTATTAATAAGTAATTTATATATAAAAATATATTACACCTTAAAGGAACAAGTATTAATTCGATTAGAGAATGCTCATAACTTCAAATGGAATATCAGCATTATATCAATAAATTAAATATTAAAAATATCCTCAGATTTTTGTGGTGATTAGACAAGAGCTTAGGAAGAGTGCAAAAAGAAAACACTAAAGGAAATAATTAATTACAAACAAGGCATTAATTTTGAAACTTGAATGATTAAATAAATACAATAATATTTTTATTATAACAACATAAATGATGATCATTATAAAAGATAAAATAAAATTTAAATAAATTATATTGATTCATTAAATAAAATTCTTCTTTAAATAATTAAAATTCGATTAAGGCATTATAATATCAGTAAACTCATTAGATTTTTACCTAAAATAAAATAACTAAAAATATACAAAATTATTATACTTTGATTTCTTTGTATATGAGAAAGTAAGTAGTTCTTATTTTTTCTCATTTAAATATTTAATTATCTTCAATTAAATTTTTATATTCCAACCTTTAATTATGATTAATTTACTAGTTGAACTATCATCTATACAAATTGATAATAAATAAAACATTTTTGGAATAGTATTTATAAATAAGTCTGAACAAAAAAGTTGATTTGCAGCATTTGGATTACAAAAAGTTGAAATTTTAAAGACTTTAATACTATTTATTGACTCCATATTGATGCGATTATTTCTTGAATTTAAACCTTATTAGCTAAATTATGGAATTAATTATAATCAAAAAGTATTTTTCACTTAATAATTTTAATAAAAACAGATATCTCCATGTTAAGTGTTCTTGGATCAATATTGATAGTAGGAGCATTATTAAATGCTATTATGGATAAAAAAAAACAAAAATTATAATCTCGCAATAAAGAAAATTCTTTTTTTCAAAGAAATAATCATAAAATTGATATTATTATTTTTATTTTTCTTTGTTTGTAGCCAAAATATTGTTTTAATATTTAAATATGAAAATGAATAAATCAAAATATGCAATAACTAAGTAACTCAAAAAAGAAAGAGACTAGAGTATATGATTTATCAAATGATATTAATGCTTTTAAATTTATTGTTTTTAGTATATGAAATTCTTATTTGTTAGTTTTTTTATGGTGTTGTAACCTGAGAATTAATCAACCAAATGATTTTATAATCTTTATTGAGATAGCTTTTATTAATTATTTTACTATAACATCCAACTTTATTTCTATAAACACTCTAATTATTTCATATTTATTATTGATGTCATAAATTTATAATTATAAAATTATGCAAACTCATAAAAATTTTAGATTCTGACATAAAGCTAAATAATAATATTGAAATGAAATAACACTTGAATAAAAATAACATTAAGGACAACTTTTTAATTAAATGAATAAAATAATTTAGAAGTAGAGTAGAAAAATAGTGGTTAATTGAAAAATCCTGCAATCATTGATCAAATATTATAAAATTAGATAAAGAATGATAATAATATGATTAAAAGGTGCAAACTAAATAATATTTTTGAAGATCTTATTCTGCTTAATTTTTATTTTGATTTAACATCTCACTTTTTAATAAAAATTTTAAAGTTCCAAAAGTGAACAATATAAGATTAAAAATTTATTAGATTTAAATGTTTCAGATGGAAATTATAAATTGTAAGTTTAAAATGACTTAAACCCAGAAAATATGATTGCATTTATTTATATGTATGTAAGAGGAGTTTTAATGATAATTAAACTTTTGCAGTACTTACTCTAAAATGTTTTTCTAAAACAACTTCTAAATGATAATTATTCAATAGAATATCAAAATAAATTCTTGGTTTGATTGGTTCTTGAATTGAGTAAGGTATATAATTCTTAAGATATAATTATGATTTATTCCTTTGCATTCCAAGTTACAATCACTTTATTCATTAGAAAAAATCTACCTTGAATTCCTCAATGATACTTATCAAGTACTTCAGCTTCTCTTTTAATTGAGTATATATTTTCTTTAATAAATGTATTTTGTTAGTAGATCTAAATTCACTGACAGAATAGTTCCCAATACGTCATACTCCTTAAGATTTTGAATTTTTGATTTTAGATAGACATCAATATATATCCTTGTTTTTAGGTGATTAGATATCAACTTTAAGATCGTTAAATATTTAATTATTAATTAAGATATGTATTTTATAATATAACATTAATTAGTTTAATTTATCCTAGGTAAATCTAAATTTATGATTTTAATAATACTTTTTTTCAATTAATCCATTCATCATTTGGATCAATCTTTAATGATTTTTCAAAACGGATCAAAGCTTCTTTATATTTTAACTAGTATTTTATAATATAATTGCTTCAGCATAAGCAATTTCTTAAAAAATAGGTTATGGGATACCTTTGCATTGAAATGAAAAAGTGTGATTGGATTAATAGATAGAGCTTAATAAATAAATTTTAAGTCTCATCATATTTTTTTAACTATCTTAAACACTCTCCTATCAATTAAATTTCATTTTAATTTTTCGTTATCCTACCAAATCATTTTTAAATTATTTATTTTAGATGAAACTAATCTACTCTACTCAAATGTAAAAATATATCCTATATATTGTTTTTTAATTTTTGTGATGCATATAAAATTGAAACCTAGGTTCTGTAATCAGAAAATACTATTATTTTTATTTATCTCTGAAAAATAGTTAAGCAAGATTGATATTTTTCGAAATTTAACTATAACATCATTAATTGTTATTATTTCTAAACTGAATACTATAAACAATAATAGTAAGGATAATAAATTTTACTCTTCAGCCCAATTTATATTCTGTTTTAAAGAAAAAATGGTAAATCGACCGAACTAGCACATCAAACATTGAAAAGCAAAATTACAATTATCATTAAAATTTAGAGAGACTTGAAAAAAATAAAGATGACTTTATAAATTTACATATTTTTACATACAATTTTAATAAGATTCTATCAATATATTAATATATTCTAAACTAATATTAAAAGAAGATTTTTGGAAAATAATTCTAAAATTGATTCTATCTTGATTTAAATTAATGATGATGCTAATGAAAATGAATGATAAGTCCAAAAATAAATTAAACATCGGCAAATTTTATTATCTAGATGATCAAGAATTTTTAGATCATATTTCATGATTATTAGCAAAAATTAATTATAAAATATTAAGATTTATATAAAATTTATATTGCATATATTAATTTTGAATAAATAGATATTCAATTAATTTGTATTAATATATTAACTTTTTCATATTCTTGTAAAATCTTCAAAACTATCTTCTAAAATGCTATGCATGGCAAAAAAATGCAATAAATGAAAGGCGGGGTTAAGTTCCATGTTCTATATGCTACGCGCTATCAACCTATAAATTATTATTCTAGCATAGATTGTAAATGGTTCTATAAGGATTTATGAAATTATTATATTCCCTCCAAATATAATAAAAACTTTATATTATTCTGACTGCATAGATATACTAAATTAATCTAATAAATTACTTCAATAATTATAAAAGAAATAAAATAGAGACCGGCAATATCAAAAAAATTACTAGCAGCAAATGACTTATAAGAGCTGCAATTTTTCCAAATAAATAGATCGATTCTAATATCTTATAAAGAATTCTCAAAATCAAAATTACAATTGGATTTGCTATTGCAAATAAACAAATTTAAAGAATATAGTTTTCTAACCAATAACATTCCATAATTGCCAAGGTTAACAATAAATTTGACTAAGAGAGAACTTCTAAAATCCTGTAGCATAATTGAATGGTTTTTTCTTTATAATAAAATAAAGATATAGTTTGATGGATTTACTAATGATAATATTTAAAAATTACCTTTAATTTTTCTTTGAATACTTTAGCATTGCCTTAATAAATAAGATTCTTATCTTGAATATTTGTCCCTTATAAATTCCCTTCTTCAGTTTACAATTCTTTATTCTGGTCTTAACAATCTTCTTTTAATTGATAAATATAAAGTATAATAAATATTAGTGTTAAAGAGCTTGTACATATTCTTAATACTAGTACATCTTGAATAGTTGATTAAACATTAAGATCGACAATTTATTAATTAGTAGAGTCTACTTTACTGAAATTTGTTGATGTAGTTAGGAAAATATCACCTAGATTCTAACATTGACAATTAAATTCAAAAGTGTCATTCTTTTTATCTTTAATCATTAGACATTAATTAAATTTCTTAGATAATGTTCTCATTACACACTAAATTTCATATTCTTATATTGGTTATGTATCATTTGAACACACTTTATATGTAAAAAAATTNTATTAATATATTAACTTTTTCATATTCTTGTAAAATCTTCAAAACTATCTTCTAAAATGCTATGCATGGCAAAAAAATGCAATAAATGAAAGGCGGGGTTAAGTTCCATGTTCTATATGCTACGCGCTATCAACCTATAAATTATTATTCTAGCATAGATTGTAAATGGTTCTATAAGGATTTATGAAATTATTATATTCCCTCCAAATATAATAAAAACTTTATATTATTCTGACTGCATAGATATACTAAATTAATCTAATAAATTACTTCAATAATTATAAAAGAAATAAAATAGAGACCGGCAATATCAAAAAAATTACTAGCAGCAAATGACTTATAAGAGCTGCAATTTTTCCAAATAAATAGATCGATTCTAATATCTTATAAAGAATTCTCAAAATCAAAATTACAATTGGATTTGCTATTGCAAATAAACAAATTTAAAGAATATAGTTTTCTAACCAATAACATTCCATAATTGCCAAGGTTAACAATAAATTTGACTAAGAGAGAACTTCTAAAATCCTGTAGCATAATTGAATGGTTTTTTCTTTATAATAAAATAAAGATATAGTTTGATGGATTTACTAATGATAATATTTAAAAATTACCTTTAATTTTTCTTTGAATACTTTAGCATTGCCTTAATAAATAAGATTCTTATCTTGAATATTTGTCCCTTATAAATTCCCTTCTTCAGTTTACAATTCTTTATTCTGGTCTTAACAATCTTCTTTTAATTGATAAATATAAAGTATAATAAATATTAGTGTTAAAGAGCTTGTACATATTCTTAATACTAGTACATCTTGAATAGTTGATTAAACATTAAGATCGACAATTTATTAATTAGTAGAGTCTACTTTACTGAAATTTGTTGATGTAGTTAGGAAAATATCACCTAGATTCTAACATTGACAATTAAATTCAAAAGTGTCATTCTTTTTATCTTTAATCATTAGACATTAATTAAATTTCTTAGATAATGTTCTCATTACACACTAAATTTCATATTCTTATATTGGTTATGTATCATTTGAACACACTTTATATGTAAAAAAATTCGAGTTATAATATGATGAAAAATTTTCATATGAAATAAATCTGCTATGATATGCATTTTTTAATTAAAATTAGTAATAGTTTTCTGGATAAACTATTAAAGTTGAGTCATTCAATTAGTTTTAAAGTTGACTTTCTATTTCTGATGAAAATTTTAACGGATTTGATTTAAAATATGTTTATTCAAACTAAACAAAATCAACCAAATAGTCTTCTTAAGATGATTCAATATTAAAATATTCATTAAAATATTATTTGGTTTTTCTTTTAATCTGCCAAATAATTTCATTTCCAAAAATAGCGAAAGGTTTAGAGTTTACCAAAATTGTATTTTGTATTTAATCTACAATTACATTTATACATTTCAAGAACTCAACAATACTTTGGTAAATAGTTTCATTTTTTACATTTAGACCAGAAATATCAAAATAAATCTCATCAATATAGAATAATAAAGTTTTTAAACCCTCTTCACAGTTTTATTATTGTTGAGAAAGTTCTTCATTCCAAATGAAATAATTCTCATCAACATCTTCTTGAATTTCCTTTTTCATTCGAATAAAATTCTAAAGAGTTTTGTTTAAATTATTAATATTTTCTTAAAATTCTTCAATTTTCTAGGTTAAATTTACATCTTATTCTGTTGAAATTGCAGTAATAAATAAATGGGTTGAATTTATATCATAACAATACTTTGGAGTATCTTCAGTTAATATTCTATTTTATGTCTAATTAGATCCTGCAGTAATTAACAATTCTTTATATAATTTTATTGCCTAAAATTTAAGGATATTATCGTTAGAGTCTGTAAAGATTTATTATTTGAGCAAATTAAGATAAATTTAATGATGAACTTAATCACATTTTTGATTCAATGCTTCAAATAACAATAAAATTTTGCTTTATAAATTCAAATTTTCAAATTATATTAGAGAACAATTTAATTTAGCTGGCTTTGTTCTAACTGTCTCAGAAAGTTAAGCAATTGATCCTCTACTATCAAGCACTTACAATAAAATTCCAATTTTTGATGAAACAACAGAAGAAGGCGTTTGAATTGAAAATTAATTTAAATTTTGAAACGGTTAAAGAATCAAGGAATAATCAGATGATCCTTCCAAAAAATCTTTTAGATGCATTTCTCTCAAAAATATTCTAAGTTAATACTTGTAAGGAAAATCATCAGATTGTAAACAAGTAGTTGCTATTTAAATATTTGTAAGCGCTAAGTCACTTGGGCGAGTAATATACAATTTTGAACAAGAAGGAGGCTAATTGATACTTAATTTTTTATTATTTAAACTTGGCATTATATTGTTTGTATATTAAGCTGTAAATTTTAGATTAACGCTGTCTCCATAATTTAATTCTTTAATACTATCAAATATTTTAAAGGAATAAGAAACATATTTTGGTTGAATTATCTCTATTATTTCATAGTTGTATATAATTGTAATAGAAAGATCTAATAAATAAGCTTTTTAATAAACTGGAATTATAAATGTAAAATTAAGCTTTTCATAATTATTAATCTTTCTCATCAAATAGCCCTCATTATATTAAAGCTCTAATTAAGGGAAATAATTATCAAGATAAACTATAATTAAATCTGATTGAGAAGTTTATTCAAATTTTTAAACATTAACTGTCCATTTCTAAACATTATAAGCAGGTATGGTATTCTTCTTGATATATTAAAAAAAATCAGTTTTATTCACATTAATAATTTATTTTTATTAATTTTAGCAAGTTCTATTTAAGGATAGATCATAACACGAAACCTAAATATTCAAATCTGGATCTTTGTTCCATTCATATCTTGTATCTAAGTCTTTGCATTCAATTAAAAGATTAAGATCTTTTCTTATGCTCTAAATTCCTTGATTATTAAAGTTGCAAATCAATCCAGAAAAAGGTATATCTATTGTGAAAATTTAATTTTGGATTTGATTAGAATTCAAATTTTTAGCCGAAACTTAAAATGTATAAGTTGTATTTGGACTTAATGTGTATTTTGCTATATTACCATATACTATCTAAAAGGGGTTGGTTTCGGTAGATATATTTAATCCTGAAGATATTGATTTTTTAGGTTTCTTATCTATTTCATAGAGTTAAATTAAATATTTTGTTTTATCTTCATCTAAATTGCCAACAGAAACAGAAATTTTAATTGATTCATAAACAAAATAATAGGGTTTTACAATTAAATTAATTTAAGGAAGATCTCCTGAATGAGTAAATAGTGTAAATTCTGTTTCAGAGGTAATTCCAATAAAATTTGAATATTTAATCATAAATTTCAATTCTGAATTAGATGGTAAAGTACTTTGAGGTATCAATAGATTATATTCCTATAAAAGGTTGGTATAATTTAAGAATTCTTAAAGAGTTTAGGTATCTTCATTTCCCACTGCTTCACAGCTCCATTCTAGATTATTTAGTTTTCGAAATCCATAATTTTTGAGTGCATTTAAATTTACTTAGTTTTCTGCCTATGGATTTAGTTTATGAAGTGGAACATTATATACTATTTTAGGAAGAAGCGGACTAACTGGCATCTATAAAGCTGTAAATATAAATTTTTGTAGAGAATTTTCACAATCAATATGAGATATCGAATTACTTATAAATTAGATTTCATCTCCAACATTAATTGTTGAACTTTCACCTAATTAAATTAATAGTTCTTGATTATTTTTTGGATTAAGGTAACAGACAGCATTATAACCAAAACTTTATACAGTTTCTTATTCAAATAATTACAAACATTTATTAAGTTAAAATTATGACTAAAATCCTTTTGAATTCAAAGGAAAATCAAAATGAATAATAATCTTGCTAATATCATCAGATAGATAGATTTTAACAACTGCGACTTGGCAAGCTATTTATAATATTGGAAATAATTTACTTGAACACCAAGGAGTATTATCATACCAAATTGAATTTGGTGGAGGTATACAATCCATTTCCTCATTTAGTATTCTATTAGCAAAACAAGATAAACATCCATCAATATTACATTCTAAACATTTACTTGCGCATTATTAACAATCTTCATTAATTGAATCATCAAAGTATCCAGATTGACATATACATTAAGGTATTTAGATTCTATTACCTTTACAAATTTTACAATTTTTAGAATCTAAAGTACAAGTAGAACATTGAAATGCGCACTCTAAATAAATTTAATAATAAAATACATTCACAAAATATTGATCCCATTTCTAAATATCCATCAATACATTCGCAATCATTTCCAACTCTTCCTGGTTTACAACTCAAACAGTTGGAGGGAGAATTTTTGCATGTATCACATTAAGGAGCACAGACTTTTTATTTAATATGACTTACTTTAACAAGCTAATTATTAATCCTCATAATATCCATTCATACAGTTGCAGATTGGTTAATTGATTCTTAGTGAATTTGAACAAATTAAACAATTATCCATTGTATTTAAGCAAAGCTTACACTTGATATGGCATCTTTAGCATTAAAGTTGTGTTCCATCATCAAAATATCCATCTTTACACTCACAAAATCCGGAAATGGGCAGTCGATTTGAATTTAATTCAAATTTACAGCTTGAACACTAATCAAATTAATTAATACAGGCCGAGCATTTGATATGACATTCTAATAATCAATATCTTAAAATTACTTTAACATATAGAATCTTAATCTGAATAAAATCCAACAATACAAGGACATTTATGAATAACTGATTGATCAATTCGTTTTAAATTGGTATCGCAACTTGTACAATAATTTGCTGATCCATTGCAAGTTAAACATTCATTTGAGCATTCTATATAAATTTAATATCATTACTTAAACAAATATTAGTATTTTAATCATAATAGCCAGGTTTGCATATACATTTATCTCCTTATAGCATTCTAAATTATTCAATTTCAAAACAAGATAAACAGGTTGAGGCAGAGTATTAACAGGTTTTACAATTATTAACACATTTTTAACATAATTCTGTTCCTGCATCATAATAGCCATCCAAACACAAGCATTTATTATTTATTAATATTCTATAATATACATCCAAGCAACTTAAACAATAAGTGTTAATATTTTCACATGTTTCACATGAAAAATGGCATTCTAGAAATAATAAAAAAAATAGAATACATAGACAATTTTATTAGTTAGTCTCATAAAAACCAATATTACATAAACATTTTTTTTGGTCTTAATCGAAATGTCTGGTTGTTTATCTACATAAAGTACATTAATTATTATTGGAACATTCTAGACAAGTAATATGGCATTCTAGATATAAATAAATTATTACATTCACATTATTTATTCAAAGAATTAAAGAAATAGGATTGTGAACATTAACATTAATTGCCTACCAAAGATAAATTAAGAGTCGAATCACATGTTAAGCAATTATTAGGTAATAAAGAACAAGTTAAACATGATTTTTCACATAATTCACAATTCTTTGTAGTTGGATTTTCAAAATATCCTTATAAACATTCACATTTATTTCCAAATTATAATGTTCTATAATTATCCATTGAGCATGTTAAGCAATGAGTTTAAGTATAACAAGTTAAACAAGATTTATCGCAAAATTTGCATGATTTATCTACATCAGATTCAAACATTCCATCAGTACAAACACAAGTATTATTCTTCAGGTATCGTGGCTATTCGCAAGAAGTACAAGAATTAATTGATTATGAGCATGTTAAACAACCTTCTTAACATTTTTAACAGACTCCATTTATTTCAATATATCCAATTTAACAATCACACGTTTTATTAATTAAGTTAAGCTTTCTAAATTATTCTACATAACAAGAAGTACAGTTAATTGAATTCAATTCACAAAACATACAAATTTAATTACATTTTAAACAAAGCTACTAGCCAACATCATAATATCCCTCTGCACATTTGCAATTACTTTATATATTTCTAGTTTAAGGACATGATAAGCACTAGTAAGATTACTCTATGCAACTTAGACATTAAATATCACACTTTTAACACTGAACTAATTTACCATCATCATAATATCCGAATAAACATTAACAAGTATTATTATGGAATGCTCTATTAGATATTTTTGGATCTACACATGAAATACAAGAATTAGAATCTCCTGAACTACAGTTTAAACATGAATAGTGGCATTTTTAGCAAATTTCAACACCAGAATCATAATATCCTATGTTGCAATCACATGTAAAGAGTTGTTCATTAAAAGTTCTATTTGATTCAATAGAGCATAACTCACATTTAGTTTAAAAATCGTTGCAACGAAGACAGGAATAATGGCATTCTATAAATTATTTTTAGTAATAGATACTTTGGCATATTTCATTCTATCCATCATCATAATATCTTTATATACATTAGCATTTATTGAAACCTGATATAAAAATTCTAAAGGTATTATCTTGACATGAGGTGCAGTTAAATGCCTTCTACTTACAATTTTTACATTTATAACCACATTCTATGAATACAATTTATTAATACTTTCACATATTGGCATTCCTGCATTGAAGTATCCATCTTTACAGACACAAGTATTTCCTACTTAATATCTATTCTCATTTTCCATACAAGTAAGGCAATCTGTTTCTTCACTGCCATCACAAGTTCCGCAAGAATAATGGCAATCTAATATTGTTGAATTTAATACTTTAACATTTAATTTATCCATTAAAGTCAAATGTACTTATGGCACTACCAAAAAGTTTAGTGGTGCATTTACAAGTACTTCCATCTAAATATCTATCATCATTACAAGAAGTACAATTATCAAATTTGTTTACACATTCATAACAGAAGGCACTGCAAACTAAAAATAATTTTAATAATTACCTGGGCATTCCTAAACTTACATTTCAAAGTAATGAGGTTTACATAAGCATTAATTCAATTTTAGTTCTCTATTTGCAATAGAATCACATGTAAGACATTTATCTTCCCCTTAAGTGATACAGGCTTTGCATTTAAAGTGACATTCTTTAATTTATAAACTAAATACTTTAACAGGTTATCTCGTTTTCTTTATCATATAATTCTTCAGAACAGAAACAACCCTTTATTGGATCTAGAATACGAAGAGAATTCAATGGACAAGTTAAACATTTCTCTGCCAGAGTTTCACAAGTTTCGCATTTATAAGAGCATTCTATTAATTAATAATTTATATAATTACTGTGACATATTGCTTAATCTGGTTCTTCATAATATCCATTAGCACATATACATAAATTACCTTTTAATACTCTAAAATGAAGATCAGAAGAACAAACGATACAACCATTTTCAGTATCATCGAAACATTTTTTACAAGAAAAGTGACAACCTATTGATATTTATTAATAAATATACTTGCACATTATAATTCTCCTATATCATAATGTTAATCTGGGCAGATGCATGTTGAAAAGTCAAGCTATCTATATGAGTTATCACATGTTAAACAATTAGATGAAAGTGGTCCATTACAAGTGTTACAAGTGAAATCACATTATTGGCATTTTAGTGAATATCCATCATCAAAAAAGTTAGAAAATTGACAAACACACTCATAATTATCAACTGATGGATTACTAGGTGCTCTAGTTTCAGGACATTCTGTACAAGCAACTTTTTCAGGACTGTTTGCACATTCTTAACATGTGTAATGACATTCTATTAAATAATAAAATAAATATATAATTACTTGAGCATTCAATGTTATCTGTTAAATCATCATAACATGATGATTGACATAAACACTAACCTAAAATTGTCAAGTATCTATATGAGCTTTCTAAACAAGTTGCACATCCTGTTGGTAGAGAATTATAACAGCTTCCACAAGTATAATCGCAAACTATGATGATAAATTTAATTTACTAAAACAGACATCTACAGTCCCATTATTATCACCGTAATTATCTTAGCATTCACATTTGAATTCTTCTGTTAAAATACGATTTTCTCCAGAAATACAAGTTAGACAATATTAATTTAGAGTATCATCAGCAGCTTAGAAACAGGTTCGACATCTTGGATGACATACTAAATTAATTAATTTAGAAAATACATCCGCATATTGTGTCTTTAATTTAATATTCAGCATATCCAATTTTACATTGGCAAAAATTATCAGTTTTAATTCTGAAAGATATACTTTCATCTAAGCATTCAGTACATTCTGGAAATGATGAACAACTAAGGCAAGATTTATCACAAACTTAAAATATGAATCAATAATATACCAAGGCAAATTTAATCTTCGTTTCCAAGATCATAAGTACCAGGTTAACAAATGCATTCTTTATTCACTAGAATTCTATTTGAACCTGGTTTACATGAGATACATGAATAAAAATCGATTATTTCACATTCATTACAATAACCATCTTTACAAGGTTTACACATATCAAGATATTAACCATTAGGTGGTTAACATGAGCAAGTACCTGAAATAACATCAAGTGTTAGAAGTTTTTATCCATCACAAGTTGTACAAAATTGAGGATTTGTATCCAAACATGTTTGACACATTGGATTACAACTTAGAAGATCGGGATTGCAATAACCATCAGGATTTAATGCATACCATGGTAAACAAGCTATACATTTATTTTTATCTTTTTTGCTTATTTGGAAGCATTTATCTGATCTCCTAGCAATTGTTTCGCACTTGCCCTACTCAAATTGATATATATCTTTAGGAACATAATATCCTAAATTACATTGTTAACATGACACCTAGATGCTTTATATAAAAATTATTACTTCATAATAATATACACTTTAAAGACCCTCAGGTGTAGGCTGATTGAATATGGGTTTGGAAGTCTAATAAGATGCACACTCCTTATCACTTAAACATTTATACATATTAGTACGACCAGTAATATATAACACCCTTTCATAACCGGATTCACACTAATAACAAGATTAAAAATAATGAATATAAGAGCCCTCACCGAATTTATAAAAATAACAAAATGTACATCCTGTGTCACATTCTATAAGGATTTATAATAAAATAGATACAAGAGCAACGATTTTCATCAAGCCTTGCGTAACGCATAGCACAAACCTCTATTGTTTAAACTTTCCCAGTTGCATCCTCAAAACATTATTATGATTAAATGGGGCAACCTAAAAAATTAATGAATCTAGATATCTTACTAAGTTAGCAGCGCTTAGGTTCAATACTTGGATTGATATATCCAATGTCGCATTAATTACATTTGTCATAACTTTCACATACCGTACATCTACCCCAATAACATTCTACCTTAAAAATAATTAATACCTTGAGGTGATTATTTACTTCTCTAATAATCAAATCCTGGTTTTACTTATTAACAATCTCTACCAAAATAAGGATGTTTGCAAAATTAACAATCATAGCGATAATAAGAATTTTATGTATCATCTTAAGGGTAAGCTAAATAAATTAAGCATAATTCAGGATCACGCCTTTTCTCACAACTATAAGACATCATTCCATCATTAGATGAAAGTTGAATTTTCAAGTAATAAGGAGGTTGGCAAAGTACGGTGATATCATCAAATATCATTTTTTCTGGTTTGAATCTAGGATGACATAAATAATAGTAAGGACTCTGGAATTTAGCTATTACTTCTGTTACTCCAATGCAAATAGACGAATATGCTAGTAATATTAATAATACTTACAAACACATTAATGTGGATGTAAACCAGGCATGTGAACATGATAAACAGGACATAAATCATTTCCATTTCGAAATATAGAACGAAAATCCTCTTTATAATCTTTCCATCCCAGAGCTGTTGAGATGACTAAAAACTTTATCCACCATAAAATCATTTCTTAAATATTATTATTATTGAGAATCCTTATCTAAAATCCTTTTGTACTCAAATTTAATGAATAAAAGAGGTTTTGTCTTAAAAAAAAACATCTTAATATTTTTTGTCATAATGACTTTATTAATCATTGTTCTAATTGTCTAAAAAATAATAAAATGCACAAACTCTAAATCTATTAGCGCATGATGTTCAAATAAAAATATTATGACATGAATAATGAAAAAAATAAAAAAAAAGTAATAAGAAATTTTTAATCTCCTTTATGCTTATAGATGTTTATATTAAATGACAAATTGTGAAGAAGAAATACTGTGGCTCAAATATAATGCTTTTTAAAAAAAAAAAATTAATAGTCATTGATATTTTTAAAATAAATTACGTCATTTTACAAATAATGATATATTTTCTTATATTTATTAAACTTAAAATAATAACAGTGTTAGATTAATTTTGGAATAATAGATTAAGGATTCTTATTAACATACAAATTTTGAGGATAATAAATATATAATTGATTTATGGGTTTTTAATTAAATTTTATTTCAGGATGTGAAGACTTCCTTTATTCGAATTGGTATTTAAACATAACCAAGTATGTATATAACACCTTAATTTACATAATGAAAGGCTAATTTATTGTTCTTCCTAAATATTATTTAATAAAAAATAATTTACAAGTAGACCTATATTTTAAACTTGTCTTGCCCTATATAATTTTCAAACCTATGCTGATATTTTATTGAAAAATAATAATATTAATCACAAAAAAAAAGCTAATAATTTTGAATTATAGAACCTTAATTAAAAATCTTTGTGAAATATATTGAATGAATTGATAAATGCAAATTCATTATTGCTGTAATAATGATAAAGTATTATTATAAATACAACCTCTAATAAAATATATTGGTATTTTGGAGCAAATATTAAAAAAAAATAAAAATATTTCATAAATCCTTTTTCTCTTTAAAAATAAAACTAAGTAAAATTTATTCATATAATATAAAAATAACAATATTTATTCACTTAGGTGAAATATGAGTTTTCGATATTGTAATTTTTTGTATTTAAAGTATATTTTTTGATACATATTGACTGAAAATCTGAACTATTTTCTTAAAGAAATGTAATCAAATAACTTAGATTTAAATTAAGGTTCAATTATCTTTTCTCGAGTGTTATAATCTTTTATACAAAACCATAATCTTTTTCTAAAAATCCTGATTAATTATAAAATAACAACAATTAATTTTTATCTTTATTTCTCTAATATTCTGGTTGAAGTGATACTTTGAAAATTTTAATCTGCTGCCCTAAATAATATTACTGAACATATGTTGATGAATCATACTTTATTTGTAGTTGCATCATAGAATCTTGTTGAAGTAATAGAATTTGTGAGCATCATTTTATCTCATCCCAATTTATCTTTTTCATTAGCAAATTTATTTGGGGATTGTATATAAACCACAAGAATTTTAAAGACCATAATAAAAAGAATCATTTAATTTATATGAAACCTGTTCATTGTAATTATGGTATGGAAAATCCAATCAATGACCCGCCAGAAATCTCATAAATAATTACAAAGAGGGTAATTATGATCTGACTATAACAAATACTACGATTCTATAATTTCTATAGAGTATTGAAAAATGTATTGTCTATCTATTGTTTTATCATTATTGAAATTCATATTTATAAATCATTTTCATAGGGTTAAAACAGATATGGAAGATTAAAAGCTCCTGTTGAAATCAAAGATGGATTTTTGCCAGTAGATATTTATTTAAGAAATTGCCAAAAATTTTAATGACAGAGCCTAATTTAATTTTATTTAAATAAAATATATTTAATAATATCATTTATCTCTATATTATAAATTATATTAAATTCAAAACCCCTCTAATAAAGCCTAAATTTTGAGCCATATATTTTAAATTGATAAAAGGGAATTCTAAATAGTAAATTGTACTTTTGAAAAAAAATTTTAATTTTGGATACCTTTTATTTTTGATATAAGTTTTTTATTGATCAATTATATCTTTGGATCCTTAATATTTTCAACAAAGAAAATAAAATAAAAAGATTTAATTCCCAATATTATCCCAGAGTCAAAATAAACAAAAAAATTTAGATTTAGTTTATAAAATTTATTTTTTTATCAAATAATCTTATCACCAGTGCTTATAGTTTCGGTTTTCCAACTCATTGATTAAATAAAATGACTTAGGACAAAATATGAATCATTTAAATAGAAAATTTATGGTAGTATTGATTGATATATCCATTTATGATATTTTTTTATATTGTCAAATCTATAAATTTTTTATTATTATTTACTAATACTAGCATCAAAATATTTTAATAATTTACTTTATACATTATTCACTGCAGCTGTTAAGAGTATGCAATGTTTTGGTGATAAGAATTCTGTTAATTTAAATCCTCCTCATTTTTCTTAACTGATTCAGACTTTTTTCTCATTTTTTTGATTTTATAATTATAAATATAAATATTGAATAAAATCTGATGTTTGATTAGTGATTTTTATAATACTAATTTCATATTCCAAAGCAATTACAGAATTCATTTACCGATAGTATTCAGATGTTGGCATATAAATGGTCAGAAATTTCCGCCTAATCACAATATCATGTCAATCAAATTGCTTCTATCCTATCATTTTATAAAAAACAATATTTAAAAAGCAAATAAATACTATAAGTTATATATTTCAATTACTTTTACCTGGATAATTACTTGCCATTTTAAGACTTATTCAAAAATCTTACAAATAATTTTACTTGTTTGATATGAATTTTCAATAGGAAATTATAAGTTGCATTTCTTATTCCTAAATTATAGTTTCCTAGTTTATAGATTTATTCCTTTCACTCAATAAATATTTTAGTTTTGTTATTTTTTTTAAACAAAAGTTAAATAATGGGAAAGTAATTAAAGATATTTAAATTCATTAATATAACAGTTTTTTATTCATTAATTTTTAATTTATATAAATATTTTTAATATTTTTTTTTTAATTGACCTTTATTAATAAAACAACAAAGACTATTGGAAATCTATAATTTTTGAACAATATTTTTTTTTTTTGAAAAATTATTTTAAGAACCCTTTAAAAGTAGTTCTTTTAAAAGACATACTATCATGATTCTCAAATTTTTTATGATTTGAATCTCTACTTAATTCAATTATTTATGATATTTTTTTATTTAAATTTTCAACAATACTTTAGTTACTTAGTAATTATCTTAGATTCCTGAAATTAACAATTTAATTAAGTTTCTAAATATTTAACTTTAAATCCTTACTTTAAGATTGTATAACATATTTCTTTAGTTAAATATTAGGTATATAGAAGGTTGATAATGAAAAAATTAAGGATTTTTATAAATTTATATTAATTATTAATTATTAATTTCAAAATTGAAAATTTGATTGTTATTATATGTCATTTACAAACTAATTAATTATTCTACCCAACCAAATCAATATATCAAAGAAAATTTTAAAGGCTTATTTAAAAATTAGAATATGTGTAAAATTTTGATATTAATTTAATTAAAAAATTAGCTATATCTACTTCGATTAATGAATAATAATACTATAAGAAGGCGTTAAATTTAGACTCACCCAGTGATAATGAAAATACTTCTTATTTAAATTTCATTTTTTTGGAAAATAATTCACCATTTTAATTTGAGTAAATTATTTTTGAAATAAATGTTACTTGAACCAATTGAAGATTTTGGAGAAGCTCTTAAACGTGTTAATCATTCCTCAAAATCTTTGTTTGAATTTAAGTTGATTATTGAAATCAGTCTCATATATAGTATTTATATTAAAATTTTTGATTTATTATAATTAAAACTTTTTTATTAATGATTTTAAACAACAAAAAATGTCAGTTTAATTTTCAAATTGAAATTAAAAATTGGGATAACTTAAATACATTTAAGTGATAAACTGGTACTTTAACAAAAAATAAAAATGGTAATTAAAAAATTATGTATTAATAGTGTTTTCTATGGCGATTATTATTTAAAGAGCTAGCCCATATATTTTGAAGAATTTGATTATCATAAAGTAAATCAATTATTCAATGCAACATAAATGAACTCCTTGTAATAATTGATCCAATTGGTATTGAGAAATTCAGTCTGTGGCTTCCAAAGTAAATTAAATTGCTTACATTTTTTTCACTGATAATAACAGTGAGCCTTAAACAAAAATTTAATCACTATTGTCAGCTAACAACTTTCAAATTCAAGATAGAGCGACATTTAACTTATTATTCTAATAAATTAATAACATAAGGATTAATTTTCTATTTGTCTAATTTTTTTAATTTCATTTATAATAATGAAATCAAATATTATTAAGTAGATATTTCTCACAAATTATTGATTATATTATCTAAAATTTATCAATCAAGCTGTTAAAATTTTGTAAATATGAAACACTGCATTATAATTTATTTATAATAAGAAAATGCAATAATATTTATTCATTTTCATTATTTATATATATAGAAATCCTATTTGATTAATAATTAATTTTATTTTATGTTGAAGATTATAACAAACAAAAATGAGGTTTTTTTCTTGCCATCTCTATTCTAATTAAAAAATTAAACTTCTTAATATCTTGATTTTTTCATTGGCTTTTTTGCATTTTAGTAAGTAAAAAATGAAATGAGATTGAATTTATGAAGGGGAATACATCAATCTGGTTGATTATCTTTTTGTATTATTAAATATTATGATCGTATTTTTGAAATACAATAATACTAAAAGATTTTTATGGAAAGATATTAAATTGACAGAAAAATGTGAGAATTGTTTTTAGTTGTAGATCTTTATTTAAAATAATTACTATTGAGACAATAATTGTTTATTTTATATAAAATTGTTACAAACTTTATATTTATATACTCAGATTAATTCTCTCATTAAAGAAAAGTATTCATAAATTATTGAATTGAAAAATAAAAATGGTATTAAATATCAAAATATATTTTATTAGTATTGATTTAGATTAATTGAAGTAATTAGAATTTTTATAATTATGATAAGTATTATTATATATATAATTATGATTGACAAAACATCATTATAACTGGAATTTTCTGATTTGAATTTTTTTTGTATCAATATTAAAGATTATCAAAAATTCTCCATCTTCACTCATAGTTCCTGTAGTTATTTCACATTTACAATCTATATTTTATTAATAATTGCATTCAAGATGTGAAGTGGGAGAATAAGTTAATTAAATTAAATTAACAAAATGGCCATTTTTAGAAAGTAAGATTTATTTGGAAGGAATGTAAATCTAAGGAAAATAACAATAACAAGGATATCCTCCTCCTTTTACTTAAATCTCTTATGAAATAACATATTGATTTGAAGATGAATTGAATTAATAAAAATGGATATTTTTTGATCCATGCCAATTATTCTGTTCACTTGGTTAAAATACAAAAATTTTATTATTAATGAAACTCAATCTGAATCCCCATTAATTAACTTTAATTTTCTATTTTACTTACCATGTTCTTTTTTCAGAGCTCTCCATGACTAAAATACTTTAATCAGTTGCACAAGAGATGAATTAATTTCCTTCTTGATTAATTGACATTGAAAATATTTATCCTTAATGCTCACATATAGTTTAGGAACAAAACCATGATTATAAGAATGAGTTCCAAGACCATATTTAAATATTAAGATCACTAGAGCCACTCATTAATTAATCTTCTAAAATAGGATGCAATATAACACAACTAACCCATTAAGAATGTTACTTAAGTTTAGTAATATATTTTGGATTTGACATTAGATATTATGATCCTATACATATGGTAGAATCAAATGAGCCTGAGATATATTATGATCGACTCTTTAAAATATTCATAGTTGTCACATCTTAAGAATGCATTTTGATTTTTTGTAATCCTCTCAATCTTCCATTTTTAAATTGCTTAACCTTCACATTTTCTTTTGTAGCTGCAAATAGAAGAGTTTTTTATTAATTTAATGATAAAGCCCAAATTACTTCATGCTTTTATTAAGAATATTCAAAATATGGAACATAAGAAAACTATTTTTATTGCTAATTTAGTTTCTTTGTACAAGATTTTGTGTTTGTTTAGTGCTTCATTAATTTATTAAATTAATCAAAATCAAAATATTATGTGATTTAATTATATATTCAAAAATTCATTGTAAATTATTTTATCACTAAAATTAATTCTTACTATTTTCTCAAATGTTCATAGAAAATGATTAACAAATAAAACTATTAATAGTTAATTTCTTGACAAAAACTTATGGAAAACTATATTTACATAAATTTGAGTGATTATTTTTCTTTTTCTATTTATGAATGTTTGAAATCAATTTGATATTTTATCTTTATAATATGTAAACAAACGATGATTCATAATATTTAATTATTATCATACTCAAATAAAAGGGAAAGGAAGCAAAAATAAGAATAATCTAGATACAATAAGCTTGAAAATATTATTGTTTAAATGATATAAAAGATACTTTAAGATAGAAAAATTAAACTTTACATTAAGAGATTTTTTGAATTGACCCACATATATATAAAATTTAAAGAATGCTTATCTTTTTAGATTTTAAAATCATTATTTATTATTTCTTGTTGAATTCTAATTTTAACTATTTTGATGAAGATAAGAAATTTTGGTAACAGTTAATTATTAATCTCTACTTCCAATTTATTAGGTTGAAAAATTAGCTTTTGAATTGCAAGCTACAAGATTAGTCTTAGTATTATTATTAGTTTCATTTCTTTGTCTAATTTAATTGGGTTAGTTTTGCAAATTAGGTTCTTATGTTTTAATAATATTTGGCAACTCAATTTTTTGTAATTTTTCTTCTAATATCTTAATTATTTTGCATTATTCACGGATTTCTTATTTTTATCTTTCGATCTAATTTTTATTTTATTCTAATTCAGTTTTACATTTGAAATATTCCTCTTCATATTTCTATTTTTATTACTCTAACTTATCTTTCAGATTTTAAATATCTTCTTCTTATTAATTGATTTATAGTTTTAACACTTTTTCTTAATTAATCTATTTTTCTAGATTAGTTTTAATTTCCTTCTAGAATTCTTAAGTTTATTTTTCAAAAAAACTATTTTTTTCTTAAATTTCTTTTTATTATTTTGAAATTTAATTATTCAATGTTACTTAAAGCATATTAATTTGATTTTTTAATTCATTTATCTATAAACATTATTTTTAATTTATGTTTTCTTATTCATCAAGTTTATTTGTATATTCTAGAACAATTTATTCATGCATTTTCTTTTTATCTTAGATTTATCTATTCTTTGATAATAATTAAGAATCCAATTCTTTTATTGTTTCATCTAATGCTGTATTTTTATCTTAATAACTTTTAAGGTCCATTTCAAACTATTTCACTTAAGTCTAATATTTTTTAATTTAAATTTCTTGATTCTATAAATTGATGTATGATTATTTTAGTCTCTCTTATTATTCATTTCCCTTCTCTTAAATTTAATATATATATTATTATTATTATTTTATAGTACCTTCTAAATCTATATTTTTATTTTATTTATTTCTGAGATCAAGTTCTAAGTTATTTATCTACTAACAATTCTTTTAAACTATTCTTTCTAATTCTTAATTTTTCAAATCTAATATTTATTTACTCTCCAATTAAGTTTTAAGTTGTTATTCTTTTTAATTTACTTTATCCAACTCTTACTATTAGCTTTAAATAATTTCATTCAACTCTTTAATTTTAATTTACAGATATTCAGTTTCTTAATGTTACTTTGAAATTTATTCTATGTGTTTATAGATCTAATTTTGTTAGCTTTCAATCTTTTCCTATAATAATTATTATATTTGAGCAAATTACTCTTTTATTAAACTAGAATTTTCTCTAATTAAATCTTAAGATGGTATTTAATTTTCAATTGTAAATTACATTTTATTCATTTATTGTTAAATAATGTTAACTTATTTTTCATTGTTTTCTTATTGTATAAGATTGGTGCTCATAATTTCTGTTAATTTTTATTCGATTGATTATATCATTTTCTAAGATAATGTTTCTTACAAATTTTGTGGTGGTTATGAAGGAATTTGATTAAATAAGGGAGGATTTATTTTTTACTATTAAAATATTTGAGGATTCACTGTTTATTAAAATGGTTATTAGAATTATTTAACATTTTATTAAGGAAAATTTGATTAATTCTATGCCATTTGCTTCAAAATGTCAACAACTTCCTAAATTTAAATTCTTTGTTAATCATTTGGTTCAAGCATTTATTTAAGTAACTACTTAATCATTTCATTTTCTTGTAATTAATTTATTTTATTGTAAAGAGTATCTTTATTTTATTTAAAACCTAAAATCATCTATTTTACTTATTCTTAGTTTTACACTAAATATATTATAAAATAAAATACCATTTAATAAAGATTATTTTGTTAAAACTTCATAAAATACACAACCAAGTGCCCAAATATCAGCTGGCAATGAATAATCAGATCTATTTTCAACTATTTCAGGTGCTAAAAAGAGGATAGTACCAACAAATTTTGTTTTGAATTTATTTTAATCTGATTTTATTAAACCATAATCAATAAGTTTAAATTCATCTCCAATTTTTATAAAGTTTTCAGGTTTAATGTCTCGATGTAATAATTTCTATTTATGAATAAATTGTATAGATGATGATATCTATTTAATAGATATATATATAAATATACTTGGATTAGAATCTTAAGTTTGTCTTCAAATTTTAATGAGCTTTATTAATTTATATATTCATATAAATTAAGTTCTCCTATTTCCATGACTAAGATAACTTGTTTATTCCATAAAAATCTGTCAAAAATTTTAATTAATCCAGAGGGTTATTAATTTTATTACTACATTAATGGATTTTCAAATTTCTTCTAATAGATAATTAGATTATCAATAAATTCTAATTCTTCTTGCTTTGTGAAGTATTAACACTTCAATGCAAATTATCTAATATCATTTATACCCCAATTAATTGATTTGGCTAAATACACAATTCCTTATGTTCCTTATCCAAGCTCTTTTATTGTTTCAAATTTTCTATCTGGAAAGTTAATAATAGGTGCATCAATAATCCCTGAAATTTTCTAATTCTATTACATATTTTTTTTAAATATATTTTTTTTAAATATGGTAATTAAACATTAATATTACTCTTTATCACCTTTGTTTTCTAAAATTAATTATTTAATAAAATGATTCTCTGAAATATTATCATTTAGAGTCAATATTCACAATTTCATTTATTTCTTAGTTATTCAAAATTTTATCTTAAATGGCAACTATTTACAATCGATTGAGATTTTTCAATTATAAAATATTCATAATTTATTGATTATCATGCTATTTTAAATATAATTAGAGTTTAAAAGATAAAAACAACTTCATTAATGACAAAAATTAAATAAAAATTGATATAAACTTTTTAGAGACGATAATATTTACTACTGATATGACCTTAAAACATAATATAAACTTAGGTATTAAACTACACAAAATTGAGTTATATAAAAATATGATTAAATCTGTATAACTATTTATAAGAGAAGGCTCAACTAATTTATTTTAAGAAGCCATTTGAAAATATTTATGACAGGAATAACCAAAGCTACATTTTTTGATTATATTTTAAATAGATAATTTAATGGATGAAATAGATAGCAAGACTTGCATCTTATTTAAATTAAGAAATGATATTCTTTAAAATTATTATAAAATCTAATTTTAGAAAATTTAATTAAAGTATAATTAATTTAAGGCTTAATTTATAATTTTTATACTTTTAATAAACTTTATATAAGTTAGTTTGTGGTTGAAAGGATTTCACATTAAATTTAAAAATCTTACTTCATCAACAAATTTTCATTAGTATTAAAATATATTTATAGTAAAAATTTAAGTCTAAAACTTTTTTCTTTTTTAATCATTATTGTTTTTTTCTTATTCAATCTTAAATAATTTAATCTTGAATCTCAATGCAACTTTTACTATCTTAATTTCTTAATTCATCAACCATTTATACTGGATTATCCTGTTTTTAAGTTGATTTATTTTACTTTTGTAGTTATTCATTATCAAAAGATGATATTCTATTAAAACTATTAATCTGATTTTTGATTTTCCAATGATAACTAAATAAAAATGGATCTAAATGATTTTAATTAATTGCATCCCTATAATCCTCAAATTAAGACCATTCATTTTTNTTACTCTTTATCACCTTTGTTTTCTAAAATTAATTATTTAATAAAATGATTCTCTGAAATATTATCATTTAGAGTCAATATTCACAATTTCATTTATTTCTTAGTTATTCAAAATTTTATCTTAAATGGCAACTATTTACAATCGATTGAGATTTTTCAATTATAAAATATTCATAATTTATTGATTATCATGCTATTTTAAATATAATTAGAGTTTAAAAGATAAAAACAACTTCATTAATGACAAAAATTAAATAAAAATTGATATAAACTTTTTAGAGACGATAATATTTACTACTGATATGACCTTAAAACATAATATAAACTTAGGTATTAAACTACACAAAATTGAGTTATATAAAAATATGATTAAATCTGTATAACTATTTATAAGAGAAGGCTCAACTAATTTATTTTAAGAAGCCATTTGAAAATATTTATGACAGGAATAACCAAAGCTACATTTTTTGATTATATTTTAAATAGATAATTTAATGGATGAAATAGATAGCAAGACTTGCATCTTATTTAAATTAAGAAATGATATTCTTTAAAATTATTATAAAATCTAATTTTAGAAAATTTAATTAAAGTATAATTAATTTAAGGCTTAATTTATAATTTTTATACTTTTAATAAACTTTATATAAGTTAGTTTGTGGTTGAAAGGATTTCACATTAAATTTAAAAATCTTACTTCATCAACAAATTTTCATTAGTATTAAAATATATTTATAGTAAAAATTTAAGTCTAAAACTTTTTTCTTTTTTAATCATTATTGTTTTTTTCTTATTCAATCTTAAATAATTTAATCTTGAATCTCAATGCAACTTTTACTATCTTAATTTCTTAATTCATCAACCATTTATACTGGATTATCCTGTTTTTAAGTTGATTTATTTTACTTTTGTAGTTATTCATTATCAAAAGATGATATTCTATTAAAACTATTAATCTGATTTTTGATTTTCCAATGATAACTAAATAAAAATGGATCTAAATGATTTTAATTAATTGCATCCCTATAATCCTCAAATTAAGACCATTCATTTTTCATATTAAAATCATGTATATCTTGATCTAGTTAAAATTATAATTTGGATTAATTTAAATGAATATTTAATAACAGATACGGTGGTGCATTTCATTAATTTCATTCTCAAATTTCTAAATACTTGTAATTTTTATTTTCTTATCATCTAAGATACAAGTTTTGATTTTGTTTTTATTGATCATCTTAATATCTTTCCATTCAGGATAATAGTTAGCCAATATGGCAGATTTCATATATTAATTTAATTAATTTCTATTCAAAGCATAAAATAAATATCTAATTAATAATAGTATTTAAATTATTGAACCTATGCTAGCCAAAACCTCACTTATGGTTGGATATTAATTTCTGACATACATAACTGAAATATCCATTTCCAAAGTAATTGAAGCTATCGGTTCATAAATATCAAAATTTTTCTAATACAATTTATGATAATAATCTTTAGAATAAGTATAAACTGAAGAAGTACATCTTTTGTTTATAATTTATTCTTCAGATTCTTAAAATAAGTATCCTGAATTTACTTCCATCAATTCAAAATTTGTATAAATTTATTATTCACTCCTTAGAATTGTATCTATTGGTAATTCAATAGATGTTTGTATTTCATAATAACTTTTGTCTAAAAATCAAATTCTTCATTATAAAGTTTTACTATTGGTAACAATAAGATTTCATTGAAGAATTCATCACTATATTCTTAACTTGCAGCACATTTTTACGTTTCAGATAATTAATACTCATTACCTATACATTTTACTAAAAGTATTGTAAAAGCATTATAAATTTAATTATTCAAATCTACTTTTATAGTTTTTTATCATTCCTTTTCTTAATAATCTAATTAATATGCAATTTATTCATTAAAGAGAAAAGGTAATGGGATAATAATCATTTAATTGTTATCAAAAGGATTTATTGTGCTATTAAATATTGAATCAACAAATTAATGAGGATCTTTTTATAAGAAAACTTATTCTAAATAACTTCCTTCACTAATGAGTTTTTATTATGTTGAAACTTTATAGATCATTTAACCTGATCCCCAAATGATTAATTAATTCATTGAGTAAACAAATATAAATGTTAAGGTTATTATTGTTGCCATTCCACCCCAAACTGATTTATAAAATACTTTTTATTCTTTTAACCCAAATGAAGGGCTGAAAGTAACAAAGAATCCATCCAATTTTGTAATTATATTCAGAAAGGTATTCATTCTTTTTTTATTAATTTTTATATTTATATTAATA